TTTTTTTAGTCGTGCTAGAAAAATAATTTTAATCAAAATAATAGATCAATTTATCTATTAATCTTAATACAAGTGAAAATTTACATACGAATAAATTGTGTCATAGGTGGATACAGAGTACCTAAACGACAGTGCAAATGTCGGCGGCATGCTTGGGTAATATTGGTTCTCGTGCTAAGACCATACATAGACACTGTCACTGCATGCCGCAACCGAAATCTGCGGAGGTAATTCATGAAACGATTCAACTGCGGATCATTCATTCCCAGCTGAATTGCGTGGTCATAAATAGAATCGATTTCCTCCTTAGATTTCAAGGCTGGCAGCAACGCCAGTGCCCGTGAACAGAGCAGCACTTGATTTTCACTGGGTAAATTTGATTTTCACCATTTTCTGGAAATCACCTGGAAAATGAATAATTATATTTTTTTTTTTTAAATTAAAATTTTCATGGTGGTAAAATTATCACTCTTACTCTAATATAGTGGAACCAGCATCCACTGATGATGATTTCTGGGGACTTAGTACGCGTAGCACGGAATATTGCTGCCTCAAAATCCGAATGAACGATATTCAAATGATTTTGTAATTGAGGACATTTTCCAATTGAAAATTCCCACATTTTAATATAAAAAATTGCTGTCCGTCGTTGGCAAAAAATGAACACGATAGGAAAGCCCTGTAATCAGCATATATTAATAACTAGCCATAAACTTACAAAATAAAATTATAAATTACAGTCTGTCCTCGATGAGCATGAATTATATATAGTTGAGCTGGTCTGGGTCGTGATGGCACAGCCTCAATATAGAAAAATCAAATGAAATGTTGATTAATATTAATCGCAATTACTTTATTTTGTTTAAATATCGACTCTTCATCAAGGAGACTTAGATCAGAAAAACATTTTTATGTAAATATAAAAATCAACTTACCTTAAATGTTCCATCTCAATAAACCTTATTTCGGGATCCCAGATACCTTAGCATTTACAGATCGCAGAAAACTACTCCAATACATCCGTCTGCGTTAGTAAATGATTCTTCATGAATATTATTTCCAGCTTCCCAATTATTATCTATTTTCAGAGAGATAATTATTAACTCGATAAAAACGTCAGAAACAACGACGAGGGGCAGCAGCTTATAGTTATTTGCGCTTTTTTGAGCTCCCGAATCGCTGGTTCACGGATTCCAATAGTCTGCCTCGAATGATTATAGGTACCGTGTTGAGTGATCCTCCTTCCTTCTACCAGAAGAGATACGTTGCACCTGACAACGTGAGAGCTAGCGACACAAATTAATCTCCGACCCGCGAATTGCGAAACTCTTCCAGCTGCTGTCATTTTGAAAAATGGTTTTAATAAATTCATCATCACTCGAGAACCTAACGCGCATTTAACTAATCTCTCATCAACAGCAGAACTTTTACCGCAATATATGTCAAGATTCAGCAAGAATCCATCTTCAGTGCAGAGACTCCAAAATTTAATGCAATATCGCGTGGGTTTTCCACGTATGAATTGTTTTAATGAAGTTTTTGCATAAGACTTAGCCATCATTTCATCTATTGACAATGCAGTTCTCCAGATGCCGAATGTGAGAAAATTTTTTTGGAACAATCGGATTAATGCACGAACGCGCCAGCCTTTATCGTTCAAATTCTTATCTGTAGACTTTGAGTATTCTAATTTTGATTTGATTTGCAAGAAATTATGATAAACATAAAAATAAATTACCAATAAAATAGCTTACCTACTTTTCATTTAAGTTTACTCTAGTTCCCTTCTAATAGTTTAGGTGTCTCTAGTGTATAACATATATAGATATACACTCAGTAGTAAACCAAACGCTAGTTCTCGAAATCGCCGATAGTCGAAAGTAAGTTGGTGGGGACAAACGAATATAAATGAGGCCTGTGAGGCATTGAGAACATTCACTCCGCGGGTGGAATAAGAGTAAGACTCTTAAACCATCAGATCTAGGAAAAGTAAGTGTTATACGCTACTATCCTAGTTACCCCTAAGACTCGTATTAGACACGGTCATCCCGAGAACGTTAGACGTTCTCCCCCGCCGCGAAGTCGTCGTCTTGCAAGTCGGATACTTGCTCGCGATCCGTCCCGTCTAATTAGCCCTTCTGGCTACCGAATAAATATATCTTTCTTTCTTTAATACACAAGAGAACTAGCCGTTTGCTTAATTAATTATTTAATTAGCATTCAATTTATAATTATTCATTATAATCCGTATTATTCAAATATTGTTATCAATTTTAAAGATCTTGTACACTTGTTCAATTATTTAATTGTTCAATTAATTCTTGAAAAGCTTATTGTAAATATTTAAAGTTTATTATTCATTCAATAAATTGTTTGTTAATTTAAATAAACACGCTTGATCAATTAATATAATTATTCATAAGTTTAGAAGTTTTTCTAGTTTACCGACCGTTCCAAAGAACCCCGGAAACCGACGAGCGAGTAGCAAATTAGAATTTTGAGTTCTCAAAATAAAACCATTACAAAATGATCACGTGACATTGTCGAAGAAACGACCTCTAACGATACCAATCAATGTATTCAAGTCGATCAGAGATACTTCTAAATTCTTTTCTTTAAATGCATCGATGATGTATTGTTTCATTTCAATTGAAAAAAACGTCTCAAAGAGTTTCACTGGCTCACTTTTCCGAATTTGATCTTTGATATATAAAGTCAATAGTATTTTATCTTCAATATCAGTAGAATGAATCCTTTCACCACGTACCCATCGAAATGTATAATCTTTTTCGAGCTTAGATTCGTCATGTCAGTAATTTTTCAAAGCTCGTTTATATGTGGTTCTTGGTTAATTTCCATCGGAGTAAGTATCAGAATCAAAATCACTGTCAGAATAAGAATTGTCTGAGGGACCAGAATCATCTGAATTCGGAATAAGCACATTGTCATTCTCCTCTGAGGTATCTGTATCATTTTCAGAATCAGAAGGAGCAGCACGTTTCGGCCGGTTTTTTGGCATTGCAGGTGTAATTATGAAAGAAGTCAAATATATTAGATCTTAATAGATTCAGAAGATTGAAAAAATTCGCTTCAAAAATTATTTGGCATAGGAGATACTACGGAATATGATACAAACAAGGTGTAGGTACGTCTACAATGCTACCGTGAAAACAGCTCTAATTTTCAACGATGCATTAAAAAAAACACTTCTATAAAGAAAATTTATTGGAAGTACAGCAATTCTAAGATGACATATTTAGAACAAATTTTACTAATATGACAATATCCTTGAAATACATAGAAGAGAAAGTGAAAATATTTGAATTGTATGGATTATGGAAATTTGGCAGTACTATGTGTATCTATGAAATATAAGTTTTACAGTCACATGTATGCAATCGCTTTAACAAATGAGATAAAATAAGGCAACAACGATTTCGGAAATGTAAGCACATGTCGATAAAAACCATCATTGAAAATCTATGTGAATAGTCTAAAAAAATTTCTGGAGTTACATAAACAATTAAATGTTTTTACGTCAAGATTACCATTTTTAATTTTTTTTCATTGAATTTTATTCATTAAAAAATTGTGAGAAATGCGTTATATATTTATAAAATGCCGACGTAACTCAGCAAATGCTTATAAAATCTATAGAATAGCCGATTCGTAGTGTATTCCGGGCCGCCATTTTGGATCCAGCATATTTGAGTCCAGTTCTTTGGTTTAGTTTTATTTCGAATTATAGAAAATATGCTTTACATCCATAAAAATACGAGAATTTTCTAAAAATTAAGAAAAACAATAAATTTACTCTGTTTCTCAGTTGCCACATTGAATCCGCCATTTTCAAAATTTGAGATTTCATTGGAAATTGTTGAAAAAGTCAATTTACGCCATATGAACTTATCGTGAATTTGAAATGGTAAGACAAAGGAAAAACAATCGCAAAAAATGTATATTTTTCGGAGCTTTTTGCGTTTTAGCCGCCATATTGAAAGAAAAAGTTGATAACATGTAAATATCAACATTTTTTCTCAAACCTAAATAATTTTATGCACCGATGGTTGACGAAAATTTCCAATAATCGTCCGTTACGTACCTGAAAAAAAATCATGAGTATTGAAATCGAGAAATTTTTCATCATTTTCCTGTACAAAAGCCTTCATATTTAATTGTGTCGTCGGAATTTCTAAATTTTGACTTCAGGATTCGACTCAGTGAAGCCGAAAACATAAAAAATCATTTTTTTTACGACTTTAGTACTTAGTTACATTTATAAAATTTAAGCTTGAAAACAAGGCATAAAATTAACAATCTTCGGCGTTAATGGGTTAAGAATAGGCTTATTTTGAAATAGAGATATATAAGAATAGTTTTTTTCAAGAAAAGAGTAATTTTTGAATAAAAATATCCAAGAATAGGGATATTCAGGCATAGGGACATTCAAGAATAAAGTTATAAAGATTACAGGTATTCGCGAATGGGGATATTTAAGAATAGACATTTTGTTGTGCCTTCTAAGGATAATTAATAAAGAATTAGAGAAATTTAAATATATAAAAGAACCAATTACTCTTGCTTATCACGCAATAAAGGTTAAAGGAGTAGAGCCAATTAAATATAGATACAAGCCACGTAACCCGGCCGTGATCAAAATTATGGAGGAAGAGATTGAAAAGGCTGAGAGAAGATGTTATTGAATCATCAAAAAGCTCATGGAACTCCTCAGTCGTATTAGTAAAAAAGAAAAATAAGCAATATCGCTTTTGTGTAGATTATCGTAGGATCAATAAAGTAACACATGAGGATGCATACCCACTACCACAAGTTAATGCTATGTTCGATAAACTACGTAATACTAATTATGGGTATGTTCCGAAATATAAACCAGTATGCTGGCCAGTGTAAATGACGTCATAAATCGACGCCATACTGGTGATTCGTTCCAAAACACTGGCCAGCATATGACGTCATACATTATCGCCATATTGGGAAAAGTGTTTGTGAGTATTTGATAAAATTTTGTGCTCCAAAAGTTATTCCAAATCCAGTACAGCAAAAACATTGATTTTAATAAATTCGTCAAGAGTGGAGATACCAACAGTTACGTTAGTATGCAGTGTTGCCACTGAAATTCACTCTGATTCATCCGATAGTGATTCTGATGATGATGAGTTAGTGCTTGCTTATTTACAAGATAACCAAGGAGGAGAAAGAATTGTAAGAATATACAATTATGTGGCATTTACTGTCCTTCGAATGTCGGATAAAACATTTAAAAGCCATTTCAGGTAATTTGTTATTATGTCCAGAAAAGGTAATATTAATGAATGTTTTAAATCTGTCAATGTCATTTCTTTTAGAGTTGAAAGGAGCACTGTCGATTATTTAATGAATTTACTTGGGTCAGATTTATCCATAGTAATTGGTAATCCTGGTAGATCTCCTATTCCTGTTTATACTCAAATCCTCATAGCGCTTTGGATGATGGCCACTCCAGATTCCTATAGGTGAATGAAAAATCATCGGCTTTAAAATGTTTATTTGGTAATGTATAATTATATGAAACATAAAAAATATTAATCGTATTTACAGATCTGTTTGCGAGCGCTTCGACATAGGCAAGGCTACTGGCTGGAGAACCGTTTGGAAATTTGTGAAAGCTTTGTATAAATATTTACCAACATTCATCAAATGGCCTAGCACTCAAGAAGCTCTAATAACTGCAGCTTATATTGACAGACGATATGGATTCCCCGGGGTGATAGGAGCTGTTGATGGAACTCATATTAACATTCCAGCACCTCATCTTAATGCTCAAAATTATATCAACAGGAAAGGAAGATATTCCATACAAACTCAGGTAATGATGAGATCAATATTTTGCAATAGTTAATTTGAAAGAATATAATACAAAATAGAATTTCGTTTACACAATACTTTGCATGTTAAAAATATTTTATAAATGAATCTTTATTTTGGACTTAAATATGTATAGCGTTTTTGATACAAAAAACATCTTTCTTATTTTATCTTGAACTCCATATCTGTAGCTTTTAGCTGATTTTTATGTTTCTGCTCTGGTAATCATCAAAGTCTTCTCCAACTCTGATATTTTTTTTTGTTGTAGAAAATTCATTTTTGCTAAGCTTTAGTTTACCTGACTGCATAACTTTACAACAGATGTTGTAAAAATCCAACTAATTATTCTTCAAATTTTAACTTTTTTATGCTTAATCTTCTAGATTAATTATAAATTTCTGACTTTTCCATGATATTTCTCTTACTTAGACATTGTTATTTCTGTAATCAATTTTGTTATATTCTCTTCATATTTTTAAACAACAATTTTTTTATATTTTGTAGGTTGTATGCGATCACACCCGAAAATTTATTCATGTCCATGCTGGTGAAGTCGGCTCGGTCCATGATGCAAGAGTTTTTCGACTTTCAGGAGTACAAAATCTTTGTGTTCCAGCCAATTTTCCTCAAGACACTCATTTACTGGGTGATCAAGCGTATTCGTTACAACCTTGTGTAATGGTACCTTATAAAAATAATCGTCATTTAACGAATGCCGAACTTCATTACAATAGAGTTCAGTCATCAGCACGCATAATAGTGGAACAATCCATTGGATTACTGAAAGGGAGATTTCGCAGTTTATTGGACAAGTTACCTATTAGACGAACAGACCTGATACCTTATTACATCGTGGCATGTTGCATCTTGCATAATATTTGTATTTTGCAAGATGATTTGATACAATTTCCAATAATAATTAACGGTAATGTTGGAAATGTACCTAATGCACCTCCAATGATTAACAATACTATGCGAAGAGATGGTATGAGGAAAAGAGAAAGAATAAAAAATGCGCTTTAAAGATTCATGATATAAAATTCTTTTTGTATTCTCCTCTATTATTTATTTGAATAAAACCATTTATTTCGTTTTTGTAATCTTTTATCTTGTTTTTTTTTGGACTTGCTATCTTCGGAAAGAACCGTATTTATTAATTAGCAATGTAATTAACTGACAGAAAGGAATTTCCATAATTCCTTTATTGAGAAATTCTAAAGCCTGCCATAAAGATTAAGAAAAAAAAATTAAATTATCCGAATAATTTAGATAAAAATATTTCTTACAATCATCATTAATATTTCGTATGATTGTTAATGTTGCTGCAATAAACAACTAGTTATTCGATTAAATTTTTATTTAAAGAAATTTATTTGTTTGTCAACATTTTTTGTCACATCTAATCTAGATTGCATTTTAGTACTCTAATCCATCACTGACATAAGAAGAAATTGGTTAAAAAAGGTCATTACATTTATTGTTAAGGAATTAAACTTAATTTTGTAATCCAGTTTATAAAGTATATTCTTTTTTATTAATATAAAACATATTTCCATAAATTCAATACAAAACAACATTATTTTTTTGTTTATGAACGTATTATACTGTAGTATACCTAACGAAGATCTTTATTGAATAATCAAAGTAAGTGACATAACTACAAAGAATAGAAATAATCAAAATTTAAGAACATAGAATTAGAATTAAAAATTAATAAAATCGTCATAGTTTGATACGGATTAAGAATTATGAACCAATTGGCTGTTATGCTTAATGAAGTTCTTTTGAAAGTTTCGTCAAAAATTATAATTTTTTTAATATCTTCAGCTCTTTAAATGCATAAAAATTCCATTGTTACTGGCAATGCTTCTCACCACTATGATTGCACGGCATATTGCAACTACAAAAACAAAAGTTGGTAAATTACACATTCATAGATTGAGACATGATATAAAGGTATTTTCCAAAAATGATTACAATATCAAAAATACTAACCATCTTTCGTGGTATCCTTGGCTGATGGCCACAATGACTATCAGCAACAAAAACGATCCAACAACTGAACAAATAACGTGATGGTTAGTTTGGACGGAGATCAATAGTTAATAAGGCACTCCAACAATGCTGAACGAAACTTAGAAATTAACCTGCAATAAATGAATGTGGCAATCATAGATATTCCTTATTAGATGATGCAATAATGTACTAAATGAAGCTAATTGAACTTACTATCACAGCAACTTAAGCTGAATTATTTATATCAATCTTAGCTTTTTTAGCAGCAGCAATGACCGCAATACTGCCTGCCATTGATTCAATGCTATCATTGAGTCTATCTAAACGAGACATTTTCTCACGACGATACAAGAGATCAGTTTCTTTCTTTAATCGCCGTTCTACCATCATTTCTTCAAGAAAATGATCCAACGGCTTCTCACGTCTTGGTCGTGGATTAGCTACTTCAACTATTTCAATAATAAATTCCAAATATTAATTATTATTCTATTTGAAAATTTTGAAAGGACTTACTCATATTATCTGGAATGCCATTTCCTGCCACTGATAATGGCTTTACCCAACGTTCTTTGTGGAAAAGTTCATGCATTACCTGTTAAAAAAAATACGACAATTTAACATAAATTTATTGAAGTACTAGAAAATAGTTGGTGAAGACTTTTGATTCTTGATGTTATTAGTTGAAAAATAAAAGAGAAGTCAGTAACAAAGAGTATAATTCAAGGTTAAATATATTGGTCCGAGCTTAGAAGCTTTGAAGCTTCATATTTTCTATTTTTTTAGTGTTGAACTGGTAAAATCAGAATAAATAGATTTTACCTCTTAATTATGTCTATTGCAAGAAGCTTTTGAACATAAATAAGAAGAGAGAAATTGAAGCATTGTAAGAAATGTAAGTAAATATTGAATTAAATACTGACATCAAAAAAAATCCACTTGTCTGCAGCTCCTCTAGATTTATTTTTTAAATCTAATTTTTCTTTATAAAGACGTTTTAATAAGTCCATTTTTGACACACATTTCTGATGCGGTATCTGTTTGCCTTTTTTTTCAAGTAAAATCGTATTAAATTTTGTCGTAGCACGTTTAAGCGCGTCTGATTTATCTTTTTTTTGTGATAATAAATGAACTCCTTCTTTTGCGAAGCAATCTATCCACAGGAAAGTTCCATCATCGGTCCAGTTATGAGGAGTTGCTGTTTATCAAAATAGAATTACATGAAAATTGGTCAGGAAATGATAAAGAATATTTTAAATGTATAAAAAATTCTTAAATCTTACAATTCATAGAATTTGGAGCAATATTTTCTTGAGAGATGCTTTCTTCCACTGGTGCACATGACGCATCGATTGGCCACTCCTGGACGTTCACATCTGCGATTTCGTAGCCTGATCAAAATATGATTTATTTACGTTATTATTAAATAAAATTACATGAAAATTGGTCAGGAAATGATAAAGAATATTTTAAATGTATAAAAAATTATCAAATCTTACAATTCATAGAATTTGAAGCAATATTTTCTTGAGAGATGCTTTCTTCCACTGATGCACATGACGCATCGATTGGCCTCTCCTGGACGTTTACATCCGCGATTTCGTAGCCTGATCAAAATATGATTTATTTACGTTATTATTAAATAAAATTACATGAAAATTGGTCAGGAAATGATAAAGAATATTTTAAATGTATAAAAAATTATTAAATCTTACAATTCATAGAATTTGGAGCAATATTTTCTTGAGAGATGCTTTCTTCCACTGATGCACATGACGCATCGATTGGCCTCTCCTGGACGTTTACATCCGCGATTTCGTAGCCTATTTAAAATACGATTTATTTACGATATTATTTACTTATTTTCGATGTTATTATTATAACTATTTTTTATTATGAGACTTAATTATTACATATCTTGAAATTTTTCTCGTTAAAAATACATGGAATCTACTGGTGTATATAAATTTGAGTACTATAATGTTACCTTTTTTCATGTACTGATGAAGCAGCTGTGACCCGTAACCTGGCTCTGAAAAGCATTAATGAACATTGACATTAATATTCAAATTATTTAAAATAACAATAAGTTTTTATTAGGTTAGATGTCAAAATTTCATGACTTACCTGCATATGCTCTTAAATACTCTTCTTGAGTCACATGAAATGGGTAGGATTGTTGTTTTTCTTCATCATATAAATGTAATTCTTTTAATTCTGACATTTTTTCAAAATTAAAATAAATAAATAGAAATATTTAAAAGCCACACTACTTACACAACGGTTAACGTATAGAATGAATTAAGGCGGCAAACAGTCCAATATGGCGGCACACCAGTACAATATGGCGTCGATTCATGACGTCACTTGCACTGGCCAGCATACTGGTTTATATTTCGGAACATACCCTATATATCATCAATTAATTTGAAAAATGGCTACTGGCTTATACCACTCGAGGAGGTGAGTAAAGAAGTTACCGCATTTATCGTCCCCGGTAAAGGTTTGTTGTAGTTCGAAGTTATGCCGTTTGGGTTACACTTTGCGTCCGCCACTTTTCAATGTTTACTAGACAAGGTTATTGGACCCAAATTAGAAGGGAGGGCATTCGCCTATTTAGATGACATCATTGCATTGGAAAAAACGTGGGGTGAACATGTTAAAAACCTCTGGGGAGTCTTTCCAAGACTTAGAAAAGCCAAGTTAATAATTCATAAAGAAAAATGTCAGTTCCTTAAGACAAAGTTGAAGTATTTAGGCCATATCATAGATAAAGAAGGCATCAGAACTGATTCTGAGAGGGTACAAGCTATATAGCTCGGCAAGTACCCCGGTATTAGAGCCACTAAATGTTAATTTACTGCTTTGCCTACTAACAGACGCTAGTCGTTACGATATTGGCGTGGATTTAACTCAGGTGCAAAATAACGAGGAATATGTCATTGCATATGCCAGTAGAATATTCAATAGTAAAGAGGCTAATTATTAGGTCACAGAAAAAGAATGTTTAGCAGTTGTATGGGGTATACACTCGGCTTTATTAATGGCTGGTGTATCCTTGGAGAGCAATTACCGACCGCAGGTATGATTTTTTTTTACATTGAGTTTCCAATCTTGAATTTTTTTAACTTCGGCTAAACTGAAAAAAGTATAAAAATTAAGTTAACATTCAAAAAAATGATGTTTTAAGATAGAAGATAATTTTTTTTATTATGAAAACAATTGAAAGATCTGCCACAAATAAAAATAATCAACAGAAATTTCTTGAGAAATTAATAAATTATCAATTTTTATTTTCATGTTTGCACGGCCATCTTAATTCCGAGACATACAATAAAAATAACTAATTACTCTTTTTTTATGGAATTTTCGCTAATTGTTGTTAATTATGACGGAACTTCGTACCCCTTTAATACGAAAAAAAATTTTTAACATATTAAAACATCATATTTGAAATTTAATAACGAATTTTATACTTGTTTGAGTTCAGCTCCAGTCTAAAAAAATCTAGATTAGAAACTCGATGTAAAAAAAAATAACACCTGCGGTCGGTAATTGCATTGTCTTCAAGGATACACCAGGCATTAATGAAGCCGAGTGTACGGAAGATGAAATCTTACTTAGAAGGTTATAAGTTTACAGTTATTACCGGCCACCAGTCACTAAAAGGGTTAAAGCACATAGATGATCCAGTAGGAAGAACGGCAAGATGGAGTCTGTATCTACAACCGTATGATTCTGATGTTGAATATCGGGAGGGTTTGTAAACCATAGTAGCAGATACTCTATCACGTATTCCCATAAGAAGTTCGGATGAGGAAGATGCTGATCATGAGTCGATATATGAATTATCAGAAAGCTTGCAATTAGCAAGTTGTCCGTGGTACACAAGAATGTATCAAGAGGTCTATAAAACCCTGTATAAATACCCTGACCACAAAATCAGTGATGGTAACCTATATAAACATACATATCATCGTTGAGACTTTAAAGAAGGTAGTAATCCATTAAAAGTCTGCGTTTTACTGTCACAAAGGCTCCGAGTATTGAGAGAAAACCACGACTTCGTGACATCAGGACATTTGGGGAGGGCAAAAATAATCACAAGAATTGCTAAAAGGTACTTTTGGCCAAGAATGTAGGGTGACATCAGCCGATACGTACGCTCATGCGAAAAATGCCAGCAATACAAGCCCCTCCAACAGCCGAAGCCAGATAAAATGGGTACAATCAATGCTACGAAGTCCTGGGAAATTATAGCAGCAGATCTACAAGGTTTGGAAGCCCGGTCGGCGCACCTCCCTCTTGATGAAAAGTGGCGCCATATCGTGACCACTTTCGACATGTGTGCCCGAGAATATGTCGAAAATAGAGAGAACGACATGACCACTTGCAACAAAGTAATGGAAATTTGTTTCCATTATCTTTCCTCGCACACTCACGTGTGTGCGAGGAGAGGATTTTCACGTTCACATGTCGAATGTGGGGTGATATACGTCAGGCCAGCCAAAGAATAATATTTTAAAAATATTATCAATAAGCTCAAATTATTAATTAATGATTAATTATTAGTTAAATTATACTATCATTTACAGCATCATAGCTTGGAATCATAATCTGGAAATATTTGACCATAATTTAACTAATTATTGATCATTAATTAATAATTTGAGCTTATTGATAATATTCATCATTAACAATCGTTTTAACTTTATATTGTAAATTCATATTTCAATAGAAATGATCTATAAACGAATTGTTATATGCTATATGTAAAGTTTTTAAGGCAAGAGTCATTCATCAATTTGAGTGTCCAAAATCCATTATTACCGACAATGGGACTTAATTTACAAGTAGGGAATTCCAAGGGATATTTAAAGATTTTGGTATTAGACATATGGCCACTCCCCATACTTTCCACAATGCAATCCAGTAGAAAGAACGAATAAAGTATTAAAAACTATGATTTCACATTATATCGAGAGATCCTATCGATCTTGGGACAACTATTTAGCTGAATTGAAGTTCGCATATAATACAGCAAGCAACAAGTAAACTAAGTTTACTCCAGCATTCTTAAATTACGGGAGAGAAATATTACCTCCAAATACTTCAAGAGAATCTAGAGAACATAACGTATCCCATGACTCAAATCACATTGAACAGATGCGACATCTACAGTACATTAGAGCTTTAGTTCAAGTCAACTTGGTCTAAGCACATGAAGAGCAAAAGAAATATTATGACTAGGTCGCGCGCAACTAATTATTGGCACTGGGGCCGTCTAATAAGCCGCAATGGCTGTGAAACAAAGGAAAAGAGCCGTTAACGGCTACGGGTCGAGAAGCGTGGCACAACCGTGAGAGTAATTGATGAAGATTTCACGTTGTAATCATAAAAACGCGACACTGATATAATACTAGACTCGTTACTCGTAATCACAAGACTAGGGTAAGCTACACCTATAATATGGCGTATACTCAATAAGCTAATTTAGACAACTCGATGAAAAAAGTACGTTTTAACCGATACGATTAAACTTGCGCGTGCAATCGATAGATGATCAATTGCCAGACTGCCGGAGGACCTAGCAACAGAACTAGAGCCTATAGAAAATCACATAGATCTCTGTGTAATTTTCTATAGGACGGTATAGAGAAAGCACATTTATAACCTTTAAAAATTGAACAGCATTCATATCCGGTACTGTACTAAGTCCAGTATTAGTAGAGATTGAAGACATTAATATCGAGTCCAAAGAGTCCATATAAAAAACTTAAAACAATATATAGATGAAGTAGGTGTCGGATGGAAAAATGGAAACGCACCTGTAAGAAATTCCAAACTTTAAAACAATAATTTTACTCTTCTACAACCACTTGGTTCGTTAGGAAAACGTAAGATAGCGTAAAACGCCGTAAAATAAGATGTATTTTCATAAGGATTCCGTGCTAGGCCACCGTTGGGACAACACACGAGTTTTCTTGAGCGGCTTTTCAGCCGCTAAAATATTATTGTGAGTTGATTTTGATATTGCACATTATTTAAAACTGTCAGTTAAAAGTGTATACAGTGGCGAGAAGCCACCAAGTGGCGGAAAGGAAGGTGTAAGGAGCTCATTAAGTGAAAACTTAGATGTGGACTACCAAACTATGTATTATAAGAACTTATAAGTGGAAGCAGATATGGCGAGGCGCAATAGAAGAAATAATAAAAACAAAAAGAAGAGTGATGATCTTGTGAAAGAGGGTAGTAGTGGTAGAAACCAAAAGAGAAGCAAAAGTAGAAGTCCTTTGTCGCGAAATGGTGAGAGGAAAGATTGGAGCTCGGGCTCAGATTTGGAATGCTCCGATGGTGATAACGAGAAAGAAACAGAGGAAGAAGGAAAAGAAGACAAAGAAAACAAACGTGAGCACGGCTTCAGTCAAGATTTAATACAATCCAACAATCTCAGAAAGTACAAGAAGGTAAACAAACAGGATAATACAATCAGTAAAGGGAGAAAAGTGTCATTAAACAAACAAATGGAAGCATCAAAATCGGAGCCAGAAAAACCTTTTCAGTATGAAAAAACCGATAAAGGCCCGTTCGCAGTGCAACTGACGAGGAACAGAAATGAGCAAGAAATAAATGGGAAGCCTTTAATGGCATTAGAGGTGGCTTTGCAGCTAATCAAATTTTGTCAAATAAGTTTTTACATGAGTGGGGGTATATCGCTTTTGTTCCTAGTTGGACAGTTCTTAGAAAAGGGGTTATTAAAGACATTCCTTTGGACATTGAACTTGGTGTGTCGAAAACAGAGCTTAACCAAGGTAATCCTACGTTAAGAGTTGTTATTGTTATACGTTTGAAAAGAAGAGTTGTAAATGATGGCTGTATAGCGTAAACAGATACTACTTCTGTACAGATTGTGATACGCAATAAAGAAATGCTGAAAGCTGATTATATTTGGAAAACAAGGTTAGGTTTGTTCCCTTTTATTCCAACCACTAGAAAATGTTATAGATGTGGCAGAGTTAGTCACACGATGAAGTTCTGTAAAGAAGAGAAGAAATGTCTTAGATGTGGGAAAAATAAACATGGTGCTAAGTGCTCAAAAATCCAACAACAGTATGAGATAAGTCGAATCATGGCGAAAAAGAATGTTTCCTTTTCAGTTGCAAGAGATAGGTATTTCAAGATATCACAAGAAAGTTAAGATCATAATTATTTCGCAAATAATGATACAAACTTTCCAAGCTTAAGAGATGTACACGGACCCAATGGTCCAAGCTTTGAAGGGCATGGATCCTATAGTCAAGCAGTTCGTTCAAATGGTCCAAGAATGGGAGGTAGACAATCCTGAAAACAGACTTTCAACTCAGAACAAGGAACCTCATCAGTAATCAGTAAGGAAATATGCAGCCTGTTCCGTGAACGTAAGGAGAGAGAGGATTGGGGTATCAGTAATGGCTTCAGCAGGCGAATAAGATAAATAGTGGAAAAAATTCCAGATGTCGAGAAGCTGATTTCTAGGTTGCTAAGAACGATTGAATTACATATCTTGTCTCAAAATGGCAAATAATGTT